GAAAAATAAATTTTAAAAAATGAAGACCAAACATGTTAGCAAATGAATATATTTATTTTTTGAAAAATAAGTTTTTATTACCATTTCATTTTTATCGTGAAAATTAATTTTTATAAAGTAATATGTTTTTATAAAAATTTTTTTTAATAAAGTAATGTTATAGAGGTTCAAGCATGAGCCTCCGTTTAACGGAGGTATTATGTCCATAATGCCTTCGTTAAACGGAGGCTCCTGCTTCAGCCTCCAGAATTCTGGAGGCCTCCATGGGAGGCTCAAGCATGAGCCTCCATAATTATGGAGGCTCCAACGTGCACTTTTTTATTTTCTTTTTCCTTCATTGACTCTCAGTACAATAATTTAATTTCATTTAATCAACTTAATTTTTTTTAATATTCTTAAAAAAATTTTTACGAACCGTTTAAATGATAATTTATTGAGGGGGTTAATTCAAGAGCAAAAGTGTGAATTCCATAAATATATGTAAAAAAAATTCGCTTAAAGTTATTTAAAAGTTAAAAAAAAATTATAATTGTAAAAATTACTTGTAACTTAACAATATATTAACTTAAAAATTTGGAGTAAATATTTAAATATATTTAATTTTTAAAATTAAATATTAACTTATATGTTAAATAGATGATCTATAAATAAAATATCATTTAAATAAAAATATATATATCAAAGGAATCTCTCCATATTTATTATGGAGACTTGATCTATCCATGAGATCAAACCTCCGTATCACGGAGGATTTTCTTCCGTAATACGAAGGCTTGTTATGAGAGATCAAGTCTCTTGTTATGAAGAGATCAAGCCTCCGTATTATGGAGGATTGAGATTTCCAAGCATGGAGACTAATTTTTTTCTTTGAATTTGTTTATTAGTAATATTTTTATTTGTTGATATTTTTTGCTATCACTATTTTATTTTCAACAATCACTTTTATGTAAGAAATTATTAACAAATAAAAATACAGACAAAAAATATTTGTAAAATGTAAGAAGTTACTTATAAGTAAAAAATCTACAATTTTGAAGCTAATAAAAATACAATAAATACAAAACTCCTGCAACGCACGTGTCAAAGACTAGTTATAATAATAAAGTTTGAAACTATGCACAGTTTTGGACGCATAAAGGGGAAATGAGTTGGAATAACCACCCCCTTAATGTCATTTTGTCTAAATGGCCTTTGACCAAATTCTTTAAAAAAATAAGACAACTTAATTATTTTAAAGTATCAAATACTTATTTTACCCTTTTCTTTATAACCAAATAAATGAAGGATTTTTGGCATCTTCTCCTTCATCCCCCACAGAAACCTTTCTTCTCCAAATTTACAATTGCAAAATTAAATATTCTTCTCCTTCAAATTCCCAAATACTTCTCATTCAAGTTAAAAACAATATTTTCTCTTTCTTCTTCTTAGGCCAAAGATTGTGCAGAGTTTTAAAGTGGCGGTGGGTTTGGGGCTATTAGGTTGAACAAAGTGAGTATTTATGCTATTAAAATTGGCAGTTGCAGTAATGGTGGTGTGCGACAATGGTGGGTATGAAGGATCTGCGTGTCGGAAACAATTTTTTTTTTTTTTTTGTTGATGATAGACAATATTTTTAGATTATATAACTGGTAATTGTTTTATTTTCAAACTCTTCTTGTAGCTTAGTTGGTGAAAGCTTACATTTATCCATAGGAATTAGGAAGTCTCAAGTTCGAATCCTTTTGCACCCAATTAATGGAGCAATATTTTTATTTTTAAAAATATTTACCAAAATTAACTCTATAAGGAATGAATTTGAACCTCTGACCTTTAGTTAAAATATTGAAAGTTTAACCACTATGGCAATGGTTGAATGTTAATTTTAAGTTTAACAAAATAATATATGTTGATTGGAATCTGTAACGACATTCAAATCGTTTTAATACAAATTTGACGAATTTGAAATCGTTTCAATACAAATCACAATTACAACAATATAGATATTGTTTCTTTTCATACAAAACGATAATTATATCGTTCTAGCTAATAATAACGATTCGACCGTCCACGACCATCCATCATACCTTCAACATACGTAGGATGATCAAAAAAGGTCATAAAGCGGGCTTAAAAAGAGCGAACGAAGATACTTTTCGTCGAAATAGCTTGAAGGTAGAATACAATCATGGGACATGTAAATGTTCCCATAATTTCTTTTGAGTGAGATCGAATTACCTATTTTGATCATCCTACATATGACAAATCCATGTTTGGTGGTTGTGAATGGTCGAATCGTTGTTTTTAGCAGAAACGATATAATTGTCATTTTACTTTAACTGAAACGATAAAAATGTAGTTTAAGTTATGATTTAAACTAAAACGGCATCAACGTTGTCGAACTTATACTGAAACGATAATGATATCGTTATGCATTAAAATCACAAGTAAAGTAACGACATTCATATCGTTTTAGTATAAATTTGATGAATTGGAAATGGTTTCAATAAAAATCACAATTACAACTATATAGATATTGTTTCTTTTCATATAAAACGATAACGGTATCGTTCTGGTTAAAAACAACGATTCGACTGTCCACGGGCACCCGTCGTGCCTTCAACATACGTGGGACAATAAAAAGAGGTTATCAAGTGGGTTAATACCACTCGAATGAATTAGAAAGAGCGAACGAAGATACTTTCTGTAGGAATAATTCGAAGGTGGTGGGTATGCAATCATAGGAACACAAATGTTCCCATAGTTTCTTTCAAATGAAATTGAACCCACTTGATTGCCTATTTTAATCATCTTAAATATGTCAGAAGCATTTCTGGTGGTCGTGGATAGTCGAATCGTTGTTTTTAGCAAAAACGATATAATTTTCGTTTTACTTTAATTGAAACGATATATATGTAGTTTTAGTTATGATTTAAACTAAAATGATATCAAGGTCATCGAACTTATACTGAAACGATAATGATATCTTTATGTATCAAAATCACAAGTAAAGTAATGATATTCATATCGTTTTAGTACAAATTTGACGAATTTGAAATCGTTTCAATACTAATCACGATTACATCGATATAGGTATCTTTTTTTTTTCATATAAAACGATAATCGTATCATTCTAGCTAAAAACAATGATTCAACCGTCCACAGGCACCCGTCGTGCCTTCAACATAAGTGGGATGATCAAAAAAGGTCATCAAATGGGTTGATACCACTCAAATGACTTAGAAAGAACTAACGAAGATACTTTTTGTCGGAATAGTTCAAAGGTGTTATGTAATCATGGGATCACAAATGTTCCCATAGTTTATTTCAAATGAGATCAAACCCACTTGATTGCCTATTTTGATCATCTAACATATGTCAGATGCATGTCTGGTGGTCGTGGACAGTCGAATTGTTGTTTTTACCAGAAACGATATAATTGTCGTTTTACTTTAACTGAAACGATATATATGTAGTTTTAGTTATGATTAAAACTAAAACGATATCAAGGTCGTCAAACTTGTGCTGAAACGATAATGATATCGTTATGTATCAAAATCACAAGTAAAGTAATAATATTCATATCGTTTTAATACAAATTTGACGAATTTGAAATCGTTTCATTTCAAATTACAATTACAATGATATAGATATCGTTTCTTTTCATATAAAACGATAATGATATCATTTTGACTAAAAACAATTATTCGACCGTCCACGATCACTCGTCGTGCCTTCAACATACATAGAACGATCAAAAGAGGTCATCAAATGGGCTGATACCAATCGAATAGCTTAGAAAGAGCGAACGACGATATTTTTTGCCAGAGTAGTTCAAAGGTCTTATATAATCATTGGAACACAAATGTTCCCATAGTTTCTTTCGAGTGAGATCGAACCCACTTAATTATCTATTTCGATCATTTTATATATGTCTGGTGATCGTGGACTATCGATTCATCGTTTTTAGATATAAAAATATGAATATCGTTTTATTTTCGAAGAAAAAATGTATAGGTCGTTTTAGTTCTTATTTGAACTGCAACGAGTTCAAATTAGTCAAATTTATAATGAAACGATATGGATATCGTTATGTACCAAATCACGATATAACGTAACGTCGTCCATATCGTTTCATTATAAATTTGACAAGTTCAAAATCGTTTCAGTTCAAGTAATAACTATAACAACATTGGTATCGTTTCTTTTCACTTGCAACGACAATTATATCATTATGCTTAAAAATGATGATTCGACCATCCATGACCAACCGCCATACGCCAGTCGTACATACGACGATAAAAATAGGCCATCGAGCAGGTTCAATCTCACTCAAACGAAGCTACGAAAATATTTGTGATTCCATAATTGTCTTTCACATTCGAATTGTTTCAATATAAACATGTATCCTCTTTGGCTCTTTTTGAAAATTGTACTAAAACAACATGAATGTTGTTTACTTATTTCATGTTGTGCGCCTAAGCCTCTTAAGTAGTTAAGCAATGTGTATTTTATATCGAAACAACATACACATCGTTGTTGTGCTTTAAGAACGATTTCAATGTCGTTACGCAAATCAATTAAACAATGTGTTTATAATACCGAAGTTTAGTACGAGATTGCAGGCGAGTTGGTTTCAGTGCCCGTAACAGCAGTTGCAAGCTAGCAAACAAGTGAGATAGAAAGCTCGCAGTCCGAAGGGGGAAGCGGGTCGGATGGCAAGCCCCCCTCTCTTTCGAGCGAATTGCGGAGCAGGACCTTCCCGGATTTGCACGATAGTCAGCTATGCTAGCCCACGATGAACGATATAGGTGTCGTTTTGTATTTCATGAACGATTTCAATATCGTTATAAGGGCATTTTAGTCCTTTACAAATTGAACTTTCCATGCTTAATAACTTTAGGCCTTTTAATCAAAAACCTTAGATGTTGGTCTTCTTAAACTAATGTTTAGTTTGACTTGCCTTTTTAACTCAATCCCCACGCATAAACTAGTAGTAGCTAACCATCCAAAAAACAAAAAAATAAGGAAAGAAAAATTTGTGTTGATATAACAAAAGTTAATGACAAAGCTTTCTGATCTAGTGACACTAGTAACCAAGAAAATTTCTTAGACACGAGATCTTCAAGCTGTTTTAGGCTTCAGTTTAATGCGCTTTGCTCTTGAATATAGAAAAACTCCTGCGAGGGCTATCCCAGTACCTGCACCCAAGAACAAAATAAAAACAATGGTCGAGATTGATTTGATTTCATTTCATCTTAGAAGTTTACTGAAATTTGAAGTAAAAGCTATACCCAGAGTGTTAATAAGTGAAACTGGTGTGCGGAAGAAGAGTACAGAGCTCACAATCACAACTACTCGCTTCACACAGTTGCCCACAGAATGAGTAACAGGAGAAACGCGCTGCAATATCATGTAAGCAATCTGCACAACAAACTCTTATCAGCAATCGCATTATGAAACCAAGGCATGTAATTGTGATCCTTTTTCTATCAACTTTTATCAAATTATGTACTAAATCAGGAATTCTGGGAATGTCAAGAGAAATCATGAACATTGAAAATCAAGATCGTTCTTTATTGTGCTGAGCTACATTGCTGGGGAATTGACTAAAAGCTAAAGACATAAAAGCGCTATAATAACAGATTAAGCTTCAAATCCCATGATATGTTCTAGAAAAACCAAAGAAAGAAGCTCTTTGGAAGAGTCCTGAAATATTTCCAACACAGACAGAAAAACTTGAAGACGTTAAGATATAGTTTGACGAGGAGGTTCAATATGGTATCAGTGCAGACGAAGATCTTGAAATCAAGTCTCAACACCACCCATTTATGAAAATTGTGGAAGTATTGGGTCCTTAATAAAAAAAATGGATTCAGACTCCAAGTGAAGGGGTGTGTTCAACTGATATGTTGGACTGTGACATTCAGGCAAAGATCTTGAGTTCAAGTCTAGTTGAAAATTTTAATATGGCTTGCACGTTAATGGACATTTTGAATGGTTTGTTTGGTGAAGTGTACTTTTTAAGTATAGTACGGTATGATCAAAGAAGGAAAAAAAATCTGCAATGCATACCTGCTGATATGCATGGAAGCAGAGAGCAGCAATAAGAGACCTAATGTAAATTTCTCTGACATTCAATCCCTGGCAAGGAACAACAAAATTTCTGTCCCCATTATTACTCTTCCACCAAATAAGTTATAAGCAGATTTTAAACTAAATAAATTGATCAAAGATGAAAATAAGTTACTTGTTTTCTCAGTAAAGATAGGGTTACTTGGAAAATAAGAGACCGTTTATGAGAGATTTTTATAAGTGAAAATGATTTTTTAGAGAATGTGTGCTTAAAAAGTAGGAAAAAGTTATGGTCTCATAAAATGTGTGGTTGAAATGATTTTGGGGGAAAATACCGTTTTGATTCGAAGGACAAAAAATGTAACGTATCCAACTATCATTTCTGCTCTTGAAGTTTACTTACAGTACTCTGAAGGAATGAAGGGGTAAATTTGACTCCTTCAATAAAAATAGCAGCAGGAGCAAGCAAGATGAACGACATAATTGTAATTAACGAGAAAAGTGTAATATTGTCCAAAGAGTCCTGCATGAAAACAAACTGAAACTGATGCACCAATTCTGAAAAATAAAAGCTATTTGGAAAATAAGCTCCTACTTTTCGTTCGTTCTTTCTTTCTCTTTTCAGTTCTTTCGAAACAAACATCACAAAAGAACCACTTTTTGTTTTTTCCCCAAATTCTTTTGATAGGATTAAAATCAAAGATTCGGCAAAGATTATAAGAAATTGCTCGCAATTCTGATTAACAAACAACTTTTGGCCGTAAAGTATACCTCTTTGTTAGCCATAAACTTCTTGCTAAGGACATTGCGAGATTGATTTGTCAGATTTGAGGCCATTGCACTCCAAAAGCCAGCCCTTGAACAGAGTGAGAACGGGTTGCATATCGTAAAAGTTAATACTTACTCTCTAGAGAACGTTTTGTTAATAAGGAAATGGTATCTTTAAAAAATCATGTTTGCTGAAATAAGTAAGTCAAAAGATCAGGTAAAAAGGGCAGCATATTCTTGAAGCTTCTTACCAGTTGAAAGAGGCCTCAGTCATTGATGCCAAAACCACTCCACCAACAATTGGTAGAAGGGAAGAAACAACCCATATTGTAGGAAACTGACCAAAGAGAAGACACCAGAACGCCATTAATTTTTCAGAAATAGAAAATCCCTTTTATAAGTTACCGAAGAAAAAAAGGATCCATATAAATTCATTTACTGGTTAAATAACTTGTTACGAGGAGAAAAACTCATGCTGTTGAAACAAAATAAGAATAGTTTCTTCGATACAGCAAAAATATATATGTCAATCATCACGGCTATAAAGTTATCAATTTTAAGAAAGTGAAAAAATAAATAGATTATGGCTGTTTTGCGGGGTGATTATTTACCATGTCATCGTGTATGAACTATTAGAAACATTATGAAGAAATTTTGTATGTGTAAAATGAAATTATATGGATACCGCACCTCTCCAATAAACATAGCTGAGAGGACAACAGAGAAGAACGGCTCTGTAGCTTTGATTGTGTGAGTGAACGAAACAGAAACTTTTCCAAGACTCATATTGGTGAAAAGGTGGCCTAAAGTGTGCATCACTGCCAAAGGAAGAATTGTAGCAAGCTGTCAATCAACAAATTCAAGATCAGTATTTGTATGAAAAAATTACCTTTCTATAAAGTAAATTAAGACTTACTTTCTAGAGAAGCAAGTTTGTAAGTAAAAAGTAACTATGAAAATCATGTTCAGTAAAATAAGTATCCACTGCTCATAGCATTCCAGCATTGTATTGAGTACCTGGCGACTACTGAGTTTTGGCCGCTTGTAAAGATTGAATATCCACATGAAAATAACGAGGAGAGTCCCAACAGCCAATTGAACTAAAGTGATTGTCAATGGATATGGAAAAACTTCAAGAACCTGTTCAAATTAGCACCATACCTCCCGTGTCAATAGTTGAGAGTTGAGATACACAGTAAGCTTGTAAGAATGGAATTCAACACCTTTCCCATTTGAAATTTAATAAAATCACGTCTGATTTCGATTCCGACATTGAATTCTATGGTGCCGATATTTTCTGGCTATCATAGTGTTGAAGATCAAATTTCAATAAATATATATGGCATCTCTAACAGTTAAAGTTTTCACCTACTACGGCTAACATATATCAAAGCTGGACAAAGTATATGGACTCAATTCTTACCATCACTCATTTATAGAAACATTGTACACATGACAACTTTCATGAAAAAATGAATCCCAGCTGCACAATGAGTAGTTCAGATCAAATTTAAATAAATATGGCAACTCTAACGGCTTAAGCTTTGCAACTCAAGAGGGAAGAAGAAGCACAAGCAAGAGAGGGTGAGCTATAAAACTTGACAATTCATACCAAGTTAGGGTTAACATAGTATCAAAGAATAAGATATATGGTTTCAAGTCTTCCGTCTCTCTTTCATAAAAACATTGTACACTCGATACAAATTTAAAGAAAAAATGAATTCGTGCTGCACAGTTCGGAGTGATGATTAAATTTATATAAATAAATACTAACTCACAGTCTAAAACAAAAAACAAAATCTTTTCTTAACATCTCACAAGAACAAAGATGCATGCATAATCAGATATATAGAAAGCATGAACAAGATTAAAGACTTCCCCCACAAGCCTTTTTTGCTGCATCATTAAGCCCCTGTTTGACAATAGGAAAAAAATTGTTTTGAATAATTATTTTTAGGAGAATGTGTGGTTTAAAAGTATGAAATGTTTTGGATATATATACTACATATTTTATTGGCAAATTTGTGATTGAAAATGATAAGTAAAGAAAAAAAAAGTTTTTAAATAATTGTTGTCAAACAGGCACCCGACACCTTTCTTTACAGGAAATTGTCAGATTAAATCCATGTTGGGGCCCAATCACAATGGAGAGTATGTATGCATAATGATTCACTGAATAGCCCCAAAGCCAAAAGGCTTGTAGAGACAAAGTCTGTTGTCTTCCAGAAAAAAAAAAAAAATAACAACCTGTTTGTCGTAGATATTGAAATAGACATTAAACAAGTACCAAAGCCCGAAAAGTGTTCCCAGCACCAAAGTATCCCTAGCACTGCTGGATTTCGGGCTCTCACTTGCATCCGGGCTCTCCGGAACTGAGATGGCCCGAACCGAAACTTGCTTTGAGGGTCTACGAGAGCCCAGAAACCACCCCTTTAGTCTTGCAGAACAATCAACCGGGTTCAAAGAGGAGTCATTAATAAAACAGAGTTTTCTTGATGTGGAAAAATTAAATCTGTAGAGAGAATAAGATTGGAACTTTTGGTGTTTTGTGGATACAGAAATGGAAGGGGAATATGAAATTGTGGGGCTTTGCATTTTGCAGAGATCAAGAAAACGAAGAGATAAACAGATTATGTACGTATATATGGGGGTTTTGGGAGGCGTTGGGACACTGGCGCCGCCGTGGACGTGGTGGCAGGCGGTGTTTGAAGTGTATATCAGCGAACAGTTTTCCTACATGAATCAGAGATGCAAAGGAGGGATATACTGGCAAACTTGGATTCTCAAAGAACGAATGTTCGTGGGTCTAGTCAAATATACACATACATATTCATATGTATAGTGTATGTATATATTTTGGGGCGTGGGACGGTGGAGAGGGGGTAAGGTAGGCGTAGGGTGTGGGTCTGAACGTTTGCTGTAACTGACTGTACAGTATGTCCAGGTTCATGAAGGATTAAAAGCTGGAGATATAATAAAAATAAAAAAGAATCTTATATCTTAGCCCTGTTTGAGCCCCGTGATATTAAATTTTATTACATTTCATTTTTCTCTCTTTTATTTTCAATCATACAATTTTCCATAAAATAATATTACACGTAAAAAATTTTCATTCTTTTTCAACCACTCATTTTTCAAAAAAACACTATTTCTCTCATTAATTTTTCCACGTAATGGGGATCAAACGGAAGCTTAAAATAATATCAATTACACCTCTATTGTTTTTTAATTTGTCATTATTTTTCAAATTAATTCTTCTCAAACAAGGTCGCACGCACCTTGCCAATAAGAGGGACACATGTCCCCAAAGCTCTTATTTTCCATCTCCCTATCCGTTATCGATACCGTGCTCCCTCTACTAGAGTGGCTTTTCGAACAAGAAATTTAACTCTCCTCTTTTTAGATTATAATTTTAAAATCAAGAACAGAACGAATCCTCTTCTCAGAAACACAAAGAGCGAGGTATACCATTTTTTGAGAAATTAGATTAGATGAAGGGACAAAATGTTTGTTTATTTAAGGATTTTGCTTCACAAATTTTCTCAAGGGTTGTAAAAAATAGAGATGTGCTATCCTAATATCAAGTAAATTGCCTTTGCCTTGAAAACAAATTGTTACTACATAAGACTTTACGTCTCCAAAGATGGTATTCTAATAGTTTGTAATTAGACGCTTCTCAAAAGAGACGTCCCTTTAAACAAAATTTGTTAGAAGAACCGAAAATTTCTCGACATGTAATTTTGATACGTAAATAAAATCGAAAAGTAACGTGCGAGGGTATATGTCTGAAGAAGGGTTAACGTTAAAAATGTGTGTGCACTTTGGTCACACATTCAAGGTTTGATGTCACTATTTACCAACTTTACAAATTTTAGTCAAAGGTATTAATTGTCTCATTATAGAAATTTTTATGGTCCCCTTATACCAATGTATTTGGTCCCATTATTAACCAACTTTGCATAATTTAGTCAAATTTGGACAAATGTCGATTGGAAACAAAGGAAGGAGAATTTTTTTTTCTATAGAAAATTTTATCTTAATTTAGTAATATTAATAATTTTATATGAATACATAATGTAGTAAAAATCTTTCATTCGTTGGTCAATTAATCGATATTGGAATAATTTTAAAATTCTTAATACAATAAGAATTTCAAAAACTTGATAAATAGTAAGGATGTGTTTAATTTGTTATTTTTAATTTTGCAAAATGTTGAAAATGTTACGTCTTGTCATACTTGGCCAACCTACTTGGGCCTATGGCCCACTCAATCCGAGTCACGTGGCACTCTAGTCAAGGTGGCATGCATGGTCGAAGCCCTTCATGCGAGGCCCATCTACTGAGGCCTGCAAAGATAGCCGAAGTCCTAAAGCGGAAGTATTACATGAGCGGTAGAAGCCTCCGAACCATGGAGGAACGTCTTTCATGATCACCTCTCCCAAGAGATCTTCTATATAAAGACTTGTTTGAATGATTGATGGAACGTTTATCATGAATACATATGTCAAGTCTTATCACTAGCATCGGGGTTCTGCATTAGCAATAAATGCGCAGCAAACTAGCAAGTCAAGGATAATACCTAGAATTGGATGTTTGAATAAAGGAGATGAGGCCACGTGCCACCTCATCTAAGGACTGTCATTTCACATGTAACAATATAAATACTTCCCTCGTATAACATTGAAGGGTAATGTAAGAATCAATACATGAAACCATATTTTACTCAACCCTCTCTTATATCTTGCAACACAAACGAGTTCATACATATTGAGATATACATTTACAAATGTCGATTGGTAATTACTGTACAATCGGATTAAGAACATCTCGCCGGATTCTGAACGTTCTCGTCTCGTATCGTTGAGCTACTCCCACGCCCCTTATTCATTCATTCTAGACCATCCACATGTCGTAGCGTGTAGGACATTCGCTCACGTGTGCGCGAGTGGGTCCGGCATCTATTGGCAACACTTTTTGGGTCAACAGATTGGCACCATCTGTGGAAAACCATACCATAACCACGAACAACCTTGTGGTGAAAGCTTATTGAAGAGCATTTGGGCATCCCCCTTGAAAAATGATTTGTTCTTGAAAAAGAACAAGAGGAAGCCCCACAACTTGGCAAAATCTGAAAAGTTAGACAAAAAGAAAATGAGTTCAAACGAAAACACACCCCCCAAGAGGGTAAGAGAAAACTCAAATGTGCCTCCTCCACACGCTGCCCTAGTAGCTTGGCAAAGACTCCACCACCACCAAATAAGAGATGGATTGCGGGCGACGGCACGACTGTCGAGAGAAATGGCAACCGTGGCGGCCAACATGAGAGACATTGCTAGCCAAAACTTGGTCATGAGGGAGCTCATGGCCCAGATGCAAGGCCAGGGAGGCTTCCCCATTCCTCCATACGCCCCTCAGGGGCACTACCAGCAAGAAGACAAAATTAAAAGTCATAGAACTGCCTCACCGACTATAGCCGAGGTAAAAGCCCATTTGAAAGGGAAGTGGAAGTTGATGTTTCCTCCAACTACGCTTCTGGCCGACCCACCGAGGTCCCATTGAATCACGATAACTTCTCACCTCCGTATGAGCAAGAGTCAAGACATAGGAGGGCAGACAATGTATTTGACAGAATTAGCCCCGCTGAACCGAGGCTTAGGCAACAGCAGACACACCAGCCTTGGACAATGCCACCGCCTCTACCTCCGATGCCCCAGCAGCCTGAAGAAAGGCTGGAAAATGTCCCCCGTGTTGCTCCTCCTATAAATAGGCGCCAGGGGAGGAAGGAAGAGGCTATGAACCGTCCCGAAACCTCTCACCAACAACCACGGCAAGAGGCCGAGGAATATGATTCAGATGAACAGCAGAGGTCCTGTGACTTGGACGATGACGATGAGAATTTTCCATTCTCGAGGGAACTACGGAGTGCCCAGGCTCCAAACCACTATGTAATGCCAAAGATACCAAAGTATGACGGAAGAGGCGACCCGGAGAAGCACCTGAATGCTTATAAAACTCACATGAGCCTATAGGGTGCCACCCCAGCTGTGAAGTGCAGAGCTTTCCATTTGACACTTAGTGGAGCGACTGAAATTTGGTGTAGCAGGTTACCACCTAGGAGCATAAGAAGTTGGCCTAAGTTCAAGACAACATTCTTGAAGAGGTTCGCGGTAAGCAAAGAAGGAGAGGCCCCCATCAAACGCCTCCAAGACATGAGACAGGCGCATGGGGAGTCCCTAAAGAGCTTCCTATCACGCTTCACCGATGAGATGACATATTGCGTGCAATTCACCGATCGTGAGGCGCTATCGGCATTAAGGAGAGGTCTGAACATGAATACCCTATTCTGGAGGGACGTGCAAAATCAAGATCGCACCACCTATGACGCCCTACTCGAAATGATGAGTGGGAAATCATCAATAAAGAATTGATTGAGCATAGGAACATGGCAAGTAAGGGCCTCCCACCTCCTCAAAGGCAGCGTGCTCGAGGGCCAAAATCCCACCTGATGGACTACCGAATGAATCAGGCTGGAAATGAGAGTTCTGGCCAAGCACTTGTCGCCACCACCTTGAACGCGGTCCCCACCATGGCATATGAGGATATCAACCCAATTACTAACACCCAACAGACGGAGATCCCACAAGGATCCCGTAGAGGAAGAGGTCGTAGCGGGGTTCGGGACCTAGAAATAGGTCAAATCAGAACCCACCGGGATACTGTGTACACCACCAATCCTATGGTCACGACACAGCGAATTGCCGAGACTATGCACACCACTCCCGGCTGGAACCCCCGAGGGACAGAAATGAATCGCCTCAGGCTAACAGGCCCGTGCCCAGGCACGACAATCGACATGGGCGTGAAGAGGTTGCTCCCTGTCAAAGGGATGTTTCCCCATGACGAAGGGAGCGTGATACGGAGAGGCACAGGGAAGGGTGCAGGCACCGAAGAAACCGACAAGCCCAGGATGAGGCCCCTATTCACGAGGTGGATACCATAGTTGGAGGACCATATGTTGGCGGTGAAACATGAAACGCCAAAAGGAATTACGCCCGAGAGGCTAAACACCCCCCTTTGGCAAGTTACATTGTGGACAGTGGCTCCCGGAGGAACCAAGTTCCATCCATCGTCTTCACCCAAGAGGACGTCGAAGGAGTTTACTACCCCCACTGCGATGTACTTGTTGTGAGAGCCGTCATAGCCTGAAATGGGCTCAAGCAAATGTTGGTTGACAACAGTAG